CTTGTTGTTGTTGTTGTTGTTGTGAGCCTCTTGGGTTAATTGTCTTTGCTTACAAGGGTATTGTATTCTTCTTGGATTGAGCTAATCCTTGTGAGTCTCTTGGGTTAATTGTCTTTGCTTACAAGGGTATTGTATTGTTGTTGTTGTTGTTGTTGTTGTTGTGAGCCTCTTGGGTTAATTGTCTTTGCTTACAAGGGTATTGTATTCTTCTTGGATTGAGGTAATCCTTGAAGGGGTTGAGTGAGTTGTTGAGATTCACTTGTGAAAGTTTAATCTTGCACTCACAAGCAAGAGTGTGAGGGTTTAATCTTGCACCCACAAGTAAGAGTTTTTTTGGGTTTAATCTTGCACCCGTAAGTAAGAGAATCCTAGTGGATTGAACTCTCGAGCAAAAAAACTTGGAGAGTGGATGTACTCTAGATTAAAGGAACTACTATAAATAAATCACGACTTAATATTCTCTTCTCTTTCTTTTTATTTTTTCTGCACTTTATTTACAAGATTATAATAATTATTTGTTTATTTTGCACAACAGTTTATATATATTAGAAATTTGATTCATCTTTTGAAGAAAAAGAAATAAATTTTGAATTAAATTAATAAGACCCAATTTACCCCCCTCTTGGATAGCTAGCTAGGTTAACAAATTCGTTGCCTATTAATGAATTTGAGGGTTTATTTGTCACTGAAATGAGTTGAGGGGCTGATATGCTACCAATCACTAAGTATAGGAGCTGCTTTGCCCTTTTTGCCAAAAAGTATATTTATATGGCAAATTTAACAAATATTATGAATATAATATATATATATATATATATACTATGGATTGAGAGATGATTCTTTTTATTAAGGGGTTTTTCTTTCGATTAATAGTTAACAAAATATAATTTGCTTAAAATAATTGTATTTTATATTGTTTTATAAATATAATTAAGATTTTTTTATTAGAGCACATGTTAATATAAATAGGTAATAAATTTAAAATTAATTTTTAATTTTTATATAAATCAATTTAAAAAATACAATTAATATATTTTTAACATATGAACAGACAAACAAACCTAAAACCCATATAATTAAGATTCAAAATATAGAAAACCTTCATTAAAGTTATTTTAATATATTTACAGTTCAAATTACATATATTTCTCGGTTTGGATTAAAAAATATATATTTTATTATTCACTAATTTAGTAATTTTTTTTTAAATCATAGTATATTTATTTTTTTAATACATTTAATTATAAGAAAACAAATAACACTCTATTTTTTAGATTCTTTTCACGCAACTCAAAGTTTTAATTCGGAAATTTCAATTTAATTTATAATTTCGAGCTCATTGACTATTGCAAGGGGCTGTTGTATTTGTTTCTTTTCTTCTAAAAAGGAAAAAATTGTAATTAAAAAAGAAAAGAAAAGATGCGATCTAAAATTGAGAGTCAAACCGATCGGCTGAAATTACAGAGCACCGCCCGTCACCGTCTTTGAGCTCTACACTACATGGCAGAGAAGGAAGAAGACGAATAAGATGGAGTAGGGAAAAGCGGTGACGGGGTCTGATATATATATATGGGGTAAATAACATACATGACAGGTGGCAAGCACTTGATGAGCCTGAAGACATGTAGGAGCCACATATGATTAGTTTTATATTTTATATATTGTTATTTTTTTTGTCCTCTTACTAGGTGTTGCCATTTTTGGTAAGGAATAGAACTAGAGCGCAAATGGTTTTTAGACGCTGCTTCTCGTCGTTTGCAGCTTTGTCTATGAAATTAGTTATCCCTTCTTATCTGTTTCTCTGTGTTTTTCCTAAACTACCTCTGTAATCGATATCAACTTGAGTAATATATCGGAGATCATTCTCTTCTTTACTTGATTTCCACTTGTATTTCCCTACCCTGTTTATCCCAGGCATCAGGGTCAAGGCGAAAATGTGCCGTTGATTTCATAGATAATTCCACTGCTCCTCCTCCTTGTGATATTCCTGATCCTCCGAGCTTCACTCTCGCCTCTATTGATCAGGTTCCCCTCCTTTTATCTCCGTTCTTCAT